ATCTATCTATCTATCTATCTATCTATCTATCTATCTATCTATCTATCTATCTATCTATCTATTTATTTAGTTCTCAGATAGATGATAGATGGTAGATGATCTGTCTGTCTGTCTGTCTATCTATCTGCCTTTTTTCTCTCTCTCTGTCTATCATCAATTTATGTCTATCTATCTATCTATCTATCTATCTATCTATCTATCTATCTATCTATCTATCTATCTATCTATCTATCTATCTATCTATCTATCTATCCATATATCCATCCATATATCCATCCATCTATCTATCTATCTATCTATCTATCTATCTATCTATCTATCTATCTATCTATCTATCTATCTATCTATCTATCTATCTATCTATCTATCTATCTATCTATCTATCATCTATTTAGTTCTCAGATAGATGATAGATGGTAGATGATCTGTCTGTCTGTCTGTCTGTCTGTCTGTCTGTCTGTCTGTCTATCTATCTATCTATCTCTGTCCTCCCTGCAGAATATTAATTTTGCCTACAAGGCCACTGGTTGCTTTCCAGATTGGTTGGACTACAATATCCATTGCCCCAAACACCAAGTTGGAGAGGGCACAAGTGAACAATCCTCTACCTTCGAGATAGGTAGCCAATCCTCTGCCTACGTATTAACCAAGGATGGCCAGCGGGACACAAAAGCTTCCGTTTTCAAATGCCTTGACAAACGAGCACAACCCACGGTTCAAAAGCAAGACCGTTTGAGGATTTAAAAAGTTGCATTTTGTTTCTCTCTTTTGGTCTTGCATTGGCCACTGGCCAGAAATCTAAAAGGAACCGAGGAGGGCTGTGCAAAAATCAGCTTTGTGGGCCAGGACTCCCCAGGTATCCCCCAGCCCTGACTAGCTGGTAGCTTCATCAGTTTGCTTGCATAAGGATATGGTAATTGTGACATTTTTACATGATTAACAGCCATGCCAATTTGCATAGCGTCGGTGCCAGGCGGCCCGGGCGGTTGCTAGAGCAAACACACCCACCTTGATGAGCACACTTGAGCCCCCACCGCTGCAAGAGAGCAGCGTCCGGGACCAAGAACAGCCGGAGGTCCTTCCAAGCCCCTGGACCTTCAGAGGACCGGCCAAATATTTTAGATCTCCCTGCTCTTTGCACTGACCATCTGGATTACAGGTGGGGCGTTGCTGGGGAATGGTTTACGTCACTTACCTTTACTTAAACAATACCCCAATCAAGGAACTGCCCAGCAAGATAACACTAAACAGCCCAACCCAGAGAACTTCCAAGACCACCCCCACCAACACTGACTGGACTATAAATGGAGAGCAAACCCCCC